GGGGGTAACTACGAAATTAGAGGCTCCTTCACCACGCGATTAGCGCGACACCATGATTACGGTTTATGTGACGTAGTAGTACTGCTGGTACTACTAGTATCATCAAACTGGCATAACCCCAAGAAGATTTTCTGGAATAATCACACATTTTAAACAGCCCTGATATAAAGAAGTGGTAAAATGATCCTTTCTTAATTTTGTACTGGTACAACCATACTATGACAGGAATAGATTTACTTCTTTCTGTGCACAAAATTACTGGAGAAGTTTCTTACCTCTTTTCCTACCGGGACTTAAATTTTTTTTAGCCGTCTCAACATCATTTTAATGTTTAAAAATAATAAGAAAAGCTCGCCTGACGCGGAAAATGGATATTGAATATTCAAATATGGATAGTCAATAATGTACATTCTTGGCGATTTCGAAAGCGCGCCAGATTCTTGTTGCAGAGCCGTTTTCCTTCAGATGTTCATGTTGTAAACAGTAGTATTCTTTTGTGAAGACTCATCAACCGGCTCAACCTTTTCCTTCTCTGTCATCGCTGCAATTTTGAAGAACTGGACGGCTACAAGTACGGAAATACGACTGTCAGTTGTGATCGTACTGTACAAAAATATTGCCAAAATAATAACTATTATTCTATTCTGCATGCAGATCTAACGAAACAATCGGATTGCATTCAAAATAATAGAGAAGCAATAGGGTAGCAACAATAAAGTATTATAGCACTGACGTTGGTTGTACTCACACCGGATATAAAAGAGACAAAATATTGGATAAAAATATTGTATTACGATGACGAAGGAAGATCTAATCGACGGCGATGTCGGTGTAGAACGCGAATATTTGCCTTCAGAGGGTCAATTGACTTTGTTATGTCTCGATTATTTGCGAGACCTGAGGCGGACATACATCGATCCGCAGGACTTGCTCGACTCTGAGGGGCTACACGCAGATTGGTTGACCCTAGCAATCTACGCGCTGAATCGATCCTTTTCGATGCAAGGACCACTAAAAATTCCCCGCGGAAAGAGCAAGGATGAGTTATCTGTGAATTACAATCAAGTTACGATGCCAGTCTTCAATGACTCCTGGATGGATTCTCACCGTGTCTTGACGGATGCATCGCCTACGGAACAGGAGGAAATGATGAATCCAACTAGCTCACCGCAAGATTTCTCAAGTCTACCAACTCTAAATGAAATGACAAGGCAAATCTTGATAAGCAAGAGTCCAGGCGAACAACAGGGTGAGGAAGAAGAGAAGAAAAGTGAAGAGTACCTAGACTCATATGCTAAATACGTTTATGATGATGCACACCCTTCAAATGCCAACCGTTTCTACTTGCTGGATGGTTTGGCAGGTAGTTCGAATGGTCGCGGGCCATTATTGTTAGGAGAAGTTGCGGCCGCAGGATTGAGTCAACTAAGAGGAAGGGCGAGGCTTGTCGCCGAAGACGAAATGGTCAAAACCGAACTCTTCGAGCAATTTGTATGGGCTGTAGAAGGGAAAGGGTTTTTCCAAGATCCTGAACACGAAACGCCACGTGATGATCCACAGCAGGAAGAGGAGCGCGTGGTATTGCAAAAGGCAGTTTATGACGAGAGAATGGGCAAGGTCGTGAGCAAGTTCAGAAGCAAGCTTGCATCAAAAATAGAAATCGCGAACGCAGAAGATCCAAATCAAGAGGTAAAAACCATAAGTGAGATGACATGCCTCGCTGACTATCATCATAATAGACGCATGAAAAGAGTTATTCTAGCACGTAAACAAAAACCTGATGAAAGTCAACGAGTGGCGCCAAGTCCAAAACCCCCAGCTTCATCTATGCCGCCAACTGCCGAACGAGAAGAACCCAGCGTTGCCGAGGCCAAATCTCGAGCTCAGGCTGAAAGGTTAAAATCCAAGGGAAATACTTACATGCAAAAGAAGAAATATGATGATGCATTGGAATGTTACACTGAAGCTTTGCGACTAAGTCCCAGTGGACCCCAGAGTCACGTCTATTTTTCTAACCGAGCAGCAGCTTTGCTAAGTATGAAAAAGTTTGACAAGGCTATTCTGGACAGCGAGCGGGCCATAGCCTTAGCACCATCATATGGAAAAGCACATGCCCGACTGGGGTTGGCGCATTTTTTGTTGGGTGACTATAGACCTGCTATGGAAGCCTACACAGTTGCCCTAAAATACGAACCAGAGAACAAATCCAGCAAATCGTATTTGGAGAAAGCAGCTAAAAAGTTAGCTGCCATGGGTCAACCAGACGTGCCTGAACCCGGAGCGACATTGAGCTATTCTGGTGTAACTGAGTGGGAGAAGTCCAATGGTAAGATAGAAAAGGAAATCGGAAAAACTAGTAGTACCCGAAGGGGTCAGAGTGGAAAACAGAATCGGAAACCAGATTTGAATGGAATGTCCGTCGAGGCAGCTGAGAAACACAAGAACTTGGGAAATGTTCAGATGGCAAAGCGCGATTACAAGGCGGCTTCGGAATCCTACTCTACAGCTATTGAATTATCCCCCGATGGTCCACAATCACACGTATACTATTCAAATCGAGCAGCAGCTTTGTGCTATCTCGATCGTTACGAAGAGGCTGTTCGAGATTCGGAGGTGGCGATTAATCTGAAACCAACCTACGGAAAGGCTTATGCCCGACTGGGTCTTTCGAAGTTCTTCATGAGTGATTATGCGGCATCTATTGAGGCGTACGAGACTGCTCTCAAGTACGACCCAGACAATGCTGCAAGCAAATCGTATTTGGCTAAAGCTCGGATCAAGTTGGAACGACAACAAAAGGAAGACGATCTTTCTTCTTTCAATGTCTCCGATGAAGCACGTCGATTGATGGCAGATGACGATATGATGAAAATGGCGAAGAAAATGTTGAAAAATGGAAACCAAGGTTCTAGCCAAACGGACATGTTAAATGATCCCGAAATGAAGCAATTTGCAAAGAAAGCCACTAAGGATCCGACGATGATGGAAGCATTCAGAAATATGCATACCGTCAACGCGAGAGATTTCTAGCCGAATCAAAGTAATATTTTCGTGACGGCCCAAACCTGCGATATTTATTTTCTATCTCTTGAATTCTGATGCAGTGTAAATTTGGAGAATTGTCTATCGTATCATTCTTGATTCCACACGGACTGTAAACAAAATACTCATATACTAATAAATGTTAACATACTTCAGCATCATTAAAGAGATAAGTTGTTTAAATTGCATTTCAAGGAAGATCGGGAAAAGAAACCGCAAGCATTTCTTTTTAAGATTAGATTGGATCAAATGAGTTCGCATAATGTGTTGCTCTCAGTGCCTTTGGCTGTGCCAAGGAAACGGAAATGGTATCGTAGAATTCCACGATAGTGTAGCTCTTCCCCGTTGCAAAGAAGCAGTTTTCTATCATTTTTCATCCTTAGCCATGGAAAAATTAGCATCATCCTGTACTCTCAATATACTTCGAAAGAATTCGTAAAAAAGAAAGAAAAAGGAGTTGGCGGGAACCTTGTGCAGCAACCTTGGTATGCTCCCCCTTAAAAAGGCAGCCGGTCCCCCTTCCTCTAGTGTCATCATTGCACAGGTCCTGATTGATCCATTGTAGAGTTGTGAATCTGTCTGCAACCTTGTTTTGACGACGTCCATTGGATTGGTGACGTAAGATCCAAGACCACCTGACAGACCACCAACCAGCAAATCCCAGGAACGAACAGGCACCTTTGGGAACCGGTTTTGTGCTCGGGTTTTCCAGACAGATTTGAGGTGTTCGTAGGTTAAAAGAGTGACTATTGCGTAAGGTACATCCCGCAGTGTTTGCGATGCAATTGATCCTTTCGGGAAAAGGGTTCTATACGAAAGATCACGCATGGCCTCCCCAAAACTTGCGTACGCTTTGGTTTGCAGTTTTTGCTTAACCACTTCGTATGGAACCCTCGAAGCACTGGCAATGGTGTTCCCGATGGCGGCACTGAGTCCTATGTATAAGGCTCGTCGTTGCTCGTAGTTGTCGGGATCGCTGTGTTGAAAAGTCTTTTTGCAAAACGAATATATCCCAAAGTATAATCCTACCGATGGCATGCTCCCAATTACCGCTACGCCGACTCCAGCCTGACATTTCCGCCAGAAAAGTTTGTATAGGGACGTGATAAAACAACGTAAGAGGACAAATCCAAAATGAAAAACGAAGCAAACCATGTGCGAAGGATCTGTATGTTTCAGTGCTTACGTAAAACTCAAGAAATCCTTTCGGTCGACTTAATATTTTCTGTGCGGCTTGGGACACGCTCAGAGAAGTTGTTCCCGAAACAGAAGCGGCTTGTTGCAGTGTTTTGATGGTGTCAAAAGGCGCCAGCAGAAGTTTCGAACAACCCGCTGCCAGACCACTGGCCAAACTGTTTTTGAAACCACTAACCCATGGAGCTTCTTGAGACTTTCTAGACGAGGTTGTAACTGACGAGGCGTATCGTATTGTGTCCGAATTTCTACTACTGCTGGCGATCTGTCCTCTTCGGTGATGGGTATTTTGAGGAAGCAGAGGCGGACTTTTGGAAGAGACTACCGGAGTGGAGAGAAGAAGTGTCGCGATTGCAACTAATACAGTCAACTGCACCATAGTAAATATTCTTCCGATTCCAATGGTTTTTGTCTTCGCATGTCGTGAACAGTTGTGGCAAGGGAGCTGCCCATCGACGAGAATGATTCGTTGACCAAGCGTCGTCGTTGGTAAGGCTGTCATCCGTCTTTCTTGGCGTTTTCGGTCGATCTCCTTTGTCGTATGTCAACAATAGATTCGAAAATACAGCACCGCTTCGTATTGTTCGGATGCCTAATGTTCGCTATGAGGGGTTTGCTTCTGGGTTATTTGTTTCCAACAAAAATTTAAGTTTGTCAACCGTCAACCGTTCAAAACCACTACTCAACTTCAATTCCATATGACATCGGATGACGCGATTTTAGAAGGCGATTTTAGTTCATGGAATGATTGGTACTCGTACTCGTACGTACTCTCCTACTGTAATTTGTGGTACTCGTACTCTGCTACCGTAATACGGCACGGAGTACAGAGTGAGCCGGAATAAGATCAAAAATCACCAGGAACCTCTGCTATTTAAGCAAGTACTTCATATCCTTTGTATCATGCAAAGGTATGATCTTCGTCTGTTGCACTAATTGCGAATCGGTACCGATACTTGCCTTGTTGTTTGCAGTACGCACGGTACGTACTCTTACCGGTACCATGCCTAATACAGCAATTACCGGTACCATGCCTATACAGAAACATTGACTCCCTCTATTCGAGCAATGCAGAAGAACCTTGCAAGTCACAGAATTTGGCTAAATGAATGCCGAGACAAAGAAGCGCTATCCTAACGTGATATAGTCAATCGACTACCAGCATTGTTTGGTTCATTCATAGCGTGGTATCGAAGAAGCAAAAAAGGAATGCTTGTATCTTAATTTTACATACGTCAAAAGCTAATGAGATAAAGCTTTTGATGCAGACACACCGGCAAATGATGGAACTCCTTGCGGTCCTGTACATCTTACACGCGGTTTCAGTAGGGCTTTTGTCGGTCAATAAACTATTATATTCTGGTTACTAAGTCAAAAGTCGTAGTTGCTTGCAGCACAATGCTAAAACACAACAGCTACATTCTTCTCTACCCTTGGCCAAAGGAAGCCTTGTGCACTTTATTCATTTGTTGTCATTTTCAAGGAACGATAGCCCATATCGGCAGGGCCAACGGCTTTGGTTCCCAACTCCCAAAGACATCCGTTGCGTCTGGCGCTGTAGAAGCCTTGTCTTTTGCGTTCCAACGATATTCATTTTCCAAAAGAGTCACAAAGGGCGATGTCAGAGAGGTTGTTGTTGTCGACGGCGACGAATCGAATGATGCAGAAGTATTTGTGGGGTTCGTTGCAGTGACAACCATAGCAGCCTCGTGGGAAGCCACGGTCAGATTCCAACAATCCAAAATCGCTCGGTCGTCAACTTGCAGATTTACGGCTGGCTTCTGTGGCAGATTTTTTGTATGGTGCTTTTGCTGAATTAGGTTGATTCTACCATCGTCGCCGGCACTGTCTTCCAAGAAGACCATTCCAGAAGGCACTTCAATATCCATCATTTGATCGTCTTCGTCGTCATCTTGGACGGCATTTTGGTTGCATATGTTGTCATTTCTTTTTTTCACGGCTGATCCTTTCCCACTTGCAGCACTAGCGTCCTTTTCCGAAATGTTTTCGTTGTCGGAATTCACAGTCGATTTACCGTTCTCACTCGTGATGATCTTCCCAGACAAAGCCAACCCATCGGATTGTGTCGTCATTGTCTATTCGTCGCTTGCATCGAATCAGTAATTATCGTTTCACAGTATTCAAAAGTCGACGCTACAGAACTAACGAATCAAAAATTTGTAAGCTGAATTGTTTGATCCTAGTCTCATGAATGTTTCTGTCGCGAGCAGCAGAGGGTGATGGGGAACCGAGAACAGAAAATTGGCGTTGTCGTGCGGTATCACAGCACAGATATTAGGACTACGTAGTACGAGTACAGTACCGTACGGTACTCTTACACAACATCAAACTAAAATAATAATTGCACCGACAACATCTGTACATGTAGCGGAACGAACTTTAGGGTACGAGTACTACGTATGGTACCGTACCGTAGAAATAAAATTGCATACTGTACTGTATCCGCAAATCCAGTACTTCGTACAATGTACATGTACTTCGTACTATGTAATCGTACGACACTCTATGCTACGTAATACCTTACGTACATGAACCTCTTACTCTATGGGGTTGCGTGTACCTATGGTAATATGGTATTAGTTCTAGCTACAATTCGTACATAGTTCCATTCAGTCCCATACGATTGCCAATTCTCACGACTAACAAAATGTTCTTTAAGAAGATGCGGATGACAACAGTTTCTCCCCAGATGTCATGCTCGAAGTTCCTGTTCCCATTCTTTTCTTTCGTCGGTACAGTACAGTAAAGTACACGCCGGTAGGAATCAGTCATACTCTTCGGGTTCGTATTTATATTCAGTTGTCATTGCCTCTCCCTAACAAAGCTATTATTATATTACAATTCAAGAAGTCTCCTCAAACTCTAATCAGCGTAAGACAATGCGGTTGTTGCGACCCTTTGCGTCTCGACTACTGGGCCAAATTTCCAACAGGCCCTTTGCGGCAGCACATGGCTGCAGATCCCTGAAGAATTTTTCCTCTCTGGCAAAGGATGAAGATTACGATATCGATTCTCGACTATTTCAAGTGGAGAGCGTTGATTCTTTCGATATTTCTTCGGCAGATTGGAGAGATAATCAAACCAAGACCTTGAGATCCGAAGAAGAACAAAACCTTACATCTCTACTCATGGAATTGCCAGACCGTGTTGGAGTGTTGCACGACGTTTTACGCTTTTTCTGGAAGTACGACTTGAATATTCGAAGGATAGAATCACGCCCTTCAAAGTTTGGACGGTTTGACTTTTTCGTCGATGTGGAAGGAAGCGTGGTGGACGAGGGAGATCAAAGACTCAATCATCTTCTAGTGAGTCTGAAAGATTTTGGAGTGAAGAAGCTGCTCACTCTTGGTGAAAAAGAAGGTGAGACAGATATCTTGGTTTCTCTTATCCATTGCAACTATTATTTGACACTTGAGAACCCATTTTTGCTTTCAATTTATGGTTGTCAAAATACACAAAACTTTATTCAAACGCTTTGTTTGGTAAAGTTGCTTGGTTCCCACGACACATTTCCGAGCTCGACATGGTTGCCAACCGTGTGTTGGATGCTGGCACTGACCTGGAAGCAGATCACCCAGGATTCCACGATGAAAATTATCGCCAACGCCGAGAAGAGTTGGCAAATTTCGCTATGAATCATCGCTGGGACCAACCTATCGCCGACATTGACTACACAGAAAATGAGATAAAATGCTGGACTGCGGTACGTTCCTGTCCTTCCATCGATAGAATAGTGATGGGTTTTCGAACATTGTAAACTCTACGTCTACTTGTGTTTTCTGAGCGTTATTTCGAACTTGAAACCTTTTCGTTGTTCTTTCGCCGTAGGTATGGGATCAAATGGAAAATCTATGGGACAAGTATGCGTGCAAGGAATATCTTCATTCCTTAGATCTCATGATCAAAAATTGCAATTATAATCGCACAAGTATACCTAGACAAAGTGACATTTCAAGTTTTCTTGAGTCAACAACAAATTTCAAACTCCGCCCCGTTGCTGGTCTTTTGTCGTCTAGAGATTTTCTGAATGGCCTTGCTCACAGAACATTCTTTTGCACGCAATACATTCGAGTGAGTTGACCGAATTGATTTCCAAAAGTGGCTTCTCATTTCTTCAAATCAAAAGTCTGATATTTACCATCTTTATGTCGCTACACGAAACAGCATCATTCTAGGCCTCTGTACACCCCAGAGCCCGACATTTGCCATGAACTTCTTGGGCATGCCCCAATGTTTGCCAACAAAGATTTTTGCGACTTCAGTCAAGAAATCGGGTTGGCTAGTCTTGGAGCAAGCGACGAAGACATAGAGAAACTAGCTCGATGCTATTGGTTTAGCGTCGAGTTTGGTCTTTGTAGAGAATTTGATCCCAAAACAGGCAAGGATCAAATGAAAGCCTACGGTGCTGGTTTGCTTTCAAGCTTTGGAGAACTCGAGTATGCGTGTGGAGAGGCTGGTAACGACGACGAACCAAAGCCACAGATCGAACCATGGGATCCATCCAGGGCAGCTTTGAAAGAATTTCCAATAACAACATATCAGCCATTATATTTTCTTGCTGATAGTTTGTCAGATGCGAAGATCAAGATGAGAATGCACTGTGAAGGTCTGCCTAGACCATTCTTTGCGCAATACAATCAACAGACCCAGACCGTATTTATTGACCGTCAAATCAAACGGATGGAAATCGGATCACAGTAATACTTGCTCAGTGATTCCGTCAGGTTGCATCTCTTTCGTAATATGATTGCTCTGTTTACACTTTGAAACGAAATATAACTCCTTCTTGATTCTTCGTGAATTCAAATGAAAAAATTATGCGGATAATGTACATAATTATTAAAGTATTTTACAACATAACTGTTTACTGTACTCGGTGCAGATTGTCTTTTCTTCGTCGAATCAACCTTAGTCAGTTACGTTACGTCCGTCCCAAATGAAGCCGAGTTGATTCAGACGATCTACTCGGTCAGTTGTCAGTGAACTTTCTTGACTCTTTTGATATTTCTTGTACTGCTTCCTTTGTCGCTTCACCCATTGGCTCAAAACGGTATTTGCAACAGGAACGTATAGATGTCCATTTGATCCCTTAAAACGTTTCAGATTTTGGTAGTGAGACTCCCAGGCGTCGATGCGTGCTTCCCAGACGAATCCAATCTTTTCCAACATAGCTACTCGCTCGGGAGTGAGCTGAGAATGCTTCCCTTTCACGAACAGTTTGCGCTGTTGTCTTTGAAATTTCTGTTGAATCAAGGTTAGGATCACGTGGATGTGAGTGATTGAATTAGCAAAAAGGATTCCAAAAACATCATTCACAAGAACATCTAGACCAACATTCGATGGAACGTACCTGCCACTCGGCTAGTTTGGGAGAATCGGGAAAGTTGTGAGGCACTTTTGTGTGACCGAATTTCTTTTTGAATTCAGCTAGCTCCGAGAAGCGTGCCATCCATTTTTCCCTCATCGGAACAGCCTTGTGTTTGATATAATTGAGTTCTGCTATGCTTATCTTCGTACCGTCGCCATCGCAATTCGTTTTCAAGGCTGGAACGGATGTTTTCTTGACTTCACGGACTGAGCAGTTTTTGTAAGCACTCTTGATTCTTTTCCGAAGTGGACCACGGTTTGCATTAAAGTTTTGTTTTCGTTTCAGAGATGCATCAAGAGTTGGATCCTCGGCAAGTCCTTGCGCTTGCTGTGTGAGAATCTCTTGTGAATGACGGATAGGAAACTTTTCGTGAAGAGAGGCATCTTGGGGGGAAATGGGAGGGGATGGTGGAACTAGATTAGATCTGATGAATTTTAGGCCGTCGATACCTATAGCAATAGGAGGTGGGCAATTAGATACCATCTCGGAGAAGCTTGCAATGGCTGCGTTCCTGAAACGAAACTCATTAGGATGAGAGACTGGTAGTTGTAGAGCGCTTTTCAAGTGTTCGATGCTCCATGATCTATCCTGGGAAGATACGAATGCGTTTATTCTACGACCCAGTACATCCTCTGTTGGAGAGGGACATGCTGACACTCTTGGAACGCCATAGTGGCGACTTTCGATTGGAATGAGGTATTGGCTCTGTTCAGTTTTCGCATTGTCGTGATGAAGAAAGGTATCAACAACATTAGACAGCAAATGCAAACCATGGATACCATTGTGGTCCTGATCTTGGCCTTCAGCTCTAGAAGGACTAATTACTCTTGCGCTTGCTATTGATGCAGCCATCGTTGTTCCCTTTGTTTTGCAAGTATCTATTATTATTTGTGAGAAAACAATGGCAGCCAAATATTGTGGTTTTCAACACTCCAATTTCAACGTGATCTCACGAGAGAGTCGAACTTTTGACCATCGTCTCTACTCTCTCGAGGGTTTTCATTGGCTCATCAATAAGGCCTGAACAACTTCCAACAAGCTTACGTTCTTCCACGCTCTAGAACGTGCAACACGCGTGACACGCGCTTCTTGTTTTCAATTATGCATGCACATCCCGCGTTGGATCATTCACATTTCTACGATATCTATGACGTTCCTCAATCACACTTATAACTTTACAATTGCCCCATATTTTAGAAAGTAGAGAACACGCGTACCATGCTCTAGGCTCTCCGAAAAACGGGGAACCGAGTGTTTAGCACGATGATCACTCTGACAATCATCGTGCAATCCATCAAGACTCATTCTTGGAAGGATTGAGCGAAGAACAAAAAACTGTTTCTACCGGAGGTACGGCAGGGGTCATAATTTCAGAGGAGTGCGCAACGCGTCGAAAACTTCTGCAGCATGATGGTAAAAACTTTAATTCCATCCTCAGAACGTACCTGGTACCAAATCTTTGCAACCCATATCTCAAAACGGTCAGAATTGGTGCGGAACCTCCACAGATGTGAATCAGCCAGCTCAATGGAGAAAAATAACACAACAAGGTCCTTCTTGAGCTAATGGATCATGTAGAAGGGAGAGTAGATGAAGGAGGAGACAATGATAATCAGTTTCCAAACGATACGCTACTATTCACTGCAGAGCAGTTGAGTACTAGTAGTAGTAGTACTACTACTATGATTCTTCCTCTACGTCACACAAACCGGATCTATGGTACTGCGCGTTTCACGCGGTTGACACCATCGAAGTTTCAGGGTCAACCCTTAGTCTTT